GTTAAATAAATAAAAGGACATTCCCAAAGATTGCCTGAAGTTGGGGATGGAGGTGCATGGAGCTGACGAGGGTGATGCAAGCAGCCAGCCAGGGAGACACATTCACTCTGGTCCTGGAGCTCTTCTCGACTGTGTTTGCACACAGGGATCCGGCACCGGTCTCCCCTGGGACACAATGAGGTGTGCTTGCTTGCAATGAGTCGCCAGGACAGTGAACTCCCGGAATTATTTTATGCATCTGAATTTAGCAATTCTTACTGCTTTGAGACTTTTAGTTATAATCAGAAAGGTCTTTCACTCACCAAATTTATGAAGAGATTATCCCATGTTTTCTTCTACTGTGTTTACATCTTTTTGTTGTTGTTGTTTTAATCAACCCAAGTCCACAGTTTGCACTCTTGGTGTTGTACATTCTCTGGGTTTGGACAGATGTATAAGGACATGGACCCAGATTCCAGTGTCACACAGAGCAGCTTCACGGCCCGAACACCTCTGTGCTCCGTCTCTCCACTGCCACCCCGCCCCCGGAAAACCCTCCTCTTTTCCTGTCTCCATAGTTCCGCCTTTCCCAGAATGCCATCCAGCAGCATGGGGCCTTGCCTTATTGGCGTCCTTCACTGAGTGATACGCATCCAAACTTCCTCCATGTCTCTTCATAGTTTAATGGCTCCGTTCTTTTTATCACTGAATAATATTCCATTGTCTGGATGGACCACAGTTCATTTATCCACCACCTGCTGGAGGACATGCTTCTGAGTTTGGGTGATTATGAATAAAGATGCAGCTCTTCATGCTTTTGCATCAACACCTTTGACCCACCTGTTACCTACGCTGGTGCACGGTGCACAGTAAAGATGCAGTTTTGTTTTTCAGAGGGCTCTTCAGTTACTGGATAGCTCTAATGGGCTAGTGTCTCCAGTGTCTCCAACCCACAGGTTTGAGATCTCAGCACCTCTATCCTGCAGTAAATTCCTTTCTGACTTTGGGTCAGTTTCTGGACTTTCTGCTCTGTTCTCCTGTTGGGACTTCCTGCGTCAGAACCATGGCAATTTGCTATTGAGCCCTTATAACCTGCTTGATGTCTATTGGGCTTTGTGCCCTGCTATTGGTCTTCTCTCCCAGAACTTCCTGGGTTACCCACAAAAATCAGCTTGCGTGGTTCAAAAATAAAGGAACAAAACCATACTTTTCAACCAGGTTTGCTTTGTCAAAAACAAAGCCCTTGTGCTGTTCCTACTAGAATCATTGAACCTTATCAATCACCGTGGAGAAGGTTCCAGACATCAAATCTTTCCGTCCAAGAAGGTGCAACATCCATGTGTTCGAGTTTTGTTGGTGTCTTTCGGGGGAGTAAATATTTATTCATTTCTCATCTTGATCGTTTCTTGTTAAACTCATTCCTGTTATCTTGTTTGCTGCAGTAAACGGGGCTGTTTGTCCTTTATAGTTTCTCACTAGCTGCTGTGTGTACGTACGAAAGCTGTTGATTTCTGTATATTAACTTGTACCCTATCACCTTACTGACTCTCTTATTATCTCTAGCAGTATTCCGATTGGATTCTCCAGAGGTTTCCACATCCACAGTCATAGTGCCTTCTGCAGCAACACTGTTCCTTCTCCGTTCCAACTGCTCTATCTCCAATTTCCTTCTCTTGTTGTGCCGGCTAATAGCTTCGGCGAATGTTAAGGAACGGAGTTACCCGGGCATTCCTGCCGTGTTCCTGAGCACGCAGACGTCCCTCTAGTGTTCTAGCATGCCACTGGGGGGGTACGTGTATACACCTGTCATATGTGTGTATACCTCTCTATACATGTGTGTGTGTGTCCCTGTGGGTATACCTCTGTGTGTGTGTGTGTGTGTAACATCACATTGGAAAAATACATCTATTTCGTTTATTGAGTTTTTATCAAAACAGTTGTTGGGCTTTGTCAGATGTCTTCTCAGTGTCTGTAATTATAATCATATTTTTGTACTGCTCTTTAATTGAATTGAATTCACTTTTGCATTTCCATAATAAACCCCCCTTGTGGTGATTACTGTATTGGTCTTTTCCTCCAGTGCTCGGTGGTTAGTATTTGATTTAGAATCTTTGGTATCTATAACTGAGGCTACCTGTTTCCCTTCTGTGCATTCTCAGTCAGGCGGATAGATCAGTAACAGGCATTTCGTGATAAAAACAATCTGAGGCTTTCCTTGTCTTCGTGTGCTCTGGGACACTTTATAAATACCCTTGAAATCAGCCGCTACTTCAAGGTTGGTAGAATTCTCCCACAAAACTGACTGGGCCTGGGGCTTTGCGGGAGGGGGTCTCTGATCACGTTTTCTATTCATTCTACAGAAGTCAGTAGGGCCGTGTTTCCTGGGACCGTTGCTCATGTTGTCCTTCAGCCACATCACGGGACCCCATAACCAGAGTCCCGTGCTGGGTTGCATTTCATGGGGGTCGCTGCAGCCAGGGCCACAGCCGCGCTGGGGGAGGAGCTCCGCACCTGCCCCCAAGCACATGGCGCCTGTGGCCCCTGCATATTCCAGAGTGTTCTACCAGATCAGCCTGAGGCTAGACTCACGACACCTCCTCTTTGACTGGCTTCCTCCCTCATCCTCCCCGTCTCCTTCAAGAACTCAGTGCAACCAGGGACCCCGGCTCCGGCCAGCTTGTCCAGAGCCTGTGCACGCAGTTCCCCCCCTCCTCCCCTCGTCCTAGCGACAGTCTGTGTGCAGACTTATATGGTATTCATCACGCAATACCTTATTTTGTGGACATTTCTGTCTCTGAGCCATCTCCCCAAATTCATGATAAATTCTTTGAAGGATGGGCTGCGTCACATGGCACGATGCTGACAATAGGAGGTGAGACTAACAGAAAGCGAATAAGCAAATAATGCATCTCTTGGGCCTCATAACTGTGCTGAATACGGCAGAGCCCCAAGTCCAGAGGAGCTGAGGATTAATGAAGGGTGAAGGGACAGCAGTTTCTGCTTCTACAGCTCCGATTTCCACAGAATCAAGAGAGGAGCATCAGACCAGCCCTCAGGAGAAATAGTTCTCTGCTGCTAAGTTGTCCTGCACATGCACCAGACATCTGAATATTGAAAAACTGCAAGGAAACAATTATAAATGTTACTTCCCATTACTCTAAATACCTGCTTTAATTAAGCTGGAATCTGCAAAGCACAGAGCAGTGTATAACCACCTCTTACTCGTACGGTGTTTGGGCCAGAGGTCAATAAGGTCCCTTGGGCTGGACTCTCAGTGTTTACAGGGGGCCCCAGGACAGTGCAGGGCGAGCTTGGGGCAGGAATCCCAAGCTCCAGTCCTTTCCTCCATGCCCAGACTCCAGGTATAAGCCGGCTGCAGTCATCTTCCCCCTCACAGGACAAAGAATAAACTGAGATCGTGGTGTTCTGGGGTATCCTTAAACACACCACATTTTAGAGTCATGAGTCTGGGGTTCGTTCTGAAGGTTTCTTTGGTTTCATTTGTCTTCCATTCTTGCAGAGAATATTGTTTTTGTTGACGAGATTCCTTGGACCGTGGTCAGAATGAGCGCCGTCCGGTGACACGTAAATCATGGGGCCTCCACTGTGTGAAGGACCCATCAGCTCTTGGCCTCAGCGCGGGTCCGCGGTGGGAAAGGGGAACTTGCGGGCCAGGGCGGGGGGGCATGCCCAGGCAGCAGTGAACACCGCCCCATTTGATGGCTAGGAACCTGGGCGCAGAGAAAGGGTCAGAAAACCACCCCATTAGTTTGTCTGACCTCAAAACTCTCTGCTCTTACATATATAAAGAGCATTCAAAAATCACAATAGCTCTGCGCACTCTGTGAGTTTATCTCTTCCGTGGGTCACATGGGACAGCCACAAGCTAACACAAGCCTGGCTTCCTAGTTCTCCCCTCAGCCCGGGGAAGACGGCTGTCCGGGGCTCGCAGGGCCTGGGAAAGGGCTGTGCGGACCCTGACGGGAGAGGAGGAAGGAGCTGTGCGGGCTGGGATGGAGCCCCTGCTTTTTGGCTCCCACCTGTGCTGCCACTCTTTAGGGAAAACAGAAAGCCTCGTGGCGCTGAATCAGAACAGCACACGTTTTCACTGCAGTCTGTGACGGGCACTGTCGTGCATGGGCCTTAAGTTTCAGGAAGCAGAATCCGCAGCATAGGCCAGGACCAGGGGGGCTCCCACTTCTGTGCTGGGTCTGGGGAGGGGGCAGCCCGAGCAGACAACCCCGGCCCCCTTCCATGAGATGCACCTCTGCCGAGGGACGCACCGGGGCCGGGCACTGTGCCGCACATGAGTGCCGGTGGTCCTGCTGTCCGGCCAGCTCGCCTTCAGGGCCCTCCGGCCCTGAGGCCCAGACTGCTGAGCCTGTGACACAGGCATCTACATGTCCTGCAGGCCCTGAGCCTCGACTTCCCCTGAGCTGGGGACGTGCTCCAGCTTCGAGGCAAAGGGGTAGAGGGCCCAGGGCTGGGGGACATGGAGACGGGCCTGCTCAAAGGACCCAGATGTAGGTTTAGCTCCTGTCCATGGTCCCAGGTGTCTTGTCTCAAGTCCCAAGTGGCGACTCCGGGGTAGACGTGCATGGGGACAGGGACTGGCCCAGGGGCCTGTTCTCACGGGAGTCCCCGCCTGGCTCAGGCCTCCACCCCCGTCCTGCCTGCACACGGCATGCTTCCATCGGCAAATCTTTCTAAGATACAACTCTCTTCCCACGGGACAAGAGGGCGGTGGTCACAGGATTTTCGGGGTTCGTCCCGGCGGTCATAGCCCGGTCGGGCTCAGGGCTCTGCTCCCCACTTTCAGAACCACAGCCTGACATCCAGCAGCCCGCCAGGTCTCCCCCACCCGGTGGGCACTGCACTGCTCCTGCTGGTGTGTTTGGTGGCAGGCTGCGCCTCTCGCCATGTTCACCGGCGCACGTCGAGTCTCCCGGTGTAGGAGGGCAGGGGTCTCGGGGGTTGGTGGGGGAGAGCAGACTCACTCCCACGCCTCCTCTGTCCCCCAGGCTTGGACGTCAGGCAGGCGCAGGTCATCGTCCTGTCGTCAGGGACCAAGTGCATCAGCGGCGAGCACATCAGTGACCAGGGGCTGGTGGTCAACGACTGCCACGCGGAGACCGTAGCCAGGAGAGCACTGGTCCACTTCCTGTACACCCAGCTAGAGCTGCACCTGAGGTAGGCCGCCACCGGGGGCAGCTGGGCCCGGACGCCCGAGCTCGGGATGCAGGCTGCTCCCGGCTTGTATAGGATGGCGCCCACAGGGCAGGCCCAGGGCGCACGGGCAGACCCCATCCAAGTGAGGCTCCGTTCCCTCAGCTAACTCTGCGTGAGCCCCGTGGCCAGCAGCCCCCCGGCACGCAGGCCTCCATCAGCTCCGGGCCCGCCGAGGGTGCCGGGAACGGGGTGTGGGTCTCCCAGACGTGCCCAATGGTTTTCTCTCCTCAACACCCAACTCACAGCTCCAGGCTGATGTGTACCATGGTGTGGGGCCCGGGAGCAGAGCAGGGAGGCAAACAGGCTGGGGGTGTGCCTCGGGGTTTCCCAGGGGGAATGTCTGCACCGCTGCCCGTGTGGTCTCAGGACCCAGCGACAGAACCCATCACCAATGGGGCAGAACGGGGACAGCAACGAGCAGCCGGAAGCCTGTACGCGGCCGACACAGCCTCCTGCCCTCGGGCTGGGCCTTCCAAGGGCAGAGGCCTGGGCCCATCACAGGCTGGGGAACAGGTGCACCACCCTGGGTCATGGCAGGTGCAGGAATAAAGGGGGTCCCTCCAGGCGCTGGAGGCCAAGCCCTCCCCACTTTTAAAGCCGCTCCTCTGACTCCTCTGCACACAGAGCCGTGAGCCCCATGAGGCTTTATGATGCAGAGAGGGGGGTAGCATCACTGAGGGGGCTGGCTCCACAACAGAGGGGCCCGAGACGCGACATTCCAGGGCGTTGGGGCCCGGCCAGGTCTCCTTGCCCCGTGTCACTGCCGCCTGCCCCAGACGTGGTCCTGCGGGGAGAAAGCACCATGCAGGGGGCAACGAGAAAAATACGAGGAAATAAGACACAAAACCACGCAAAGCCATGGGCCCGGTGGGCGCCTTTCTGGTCAGTTCATAACAGGTGACCAGGACCCTCTCTTTGACCCTAGCAAGCGGCGGGAGGACTCAGAGCACTCGATATTCGAGCGGTCCAAGGATGGCGGCTACCGGCTAAGGGACAACGTGCTGTTCCATCTCTACGTGAGCACATCCCCCTGCGGAGACGCCAGGCTCCACTCACCCTACGAGATCACCACAGACCGTAAGCCACAACCCCTCTCCTCTGCCGGCCCCGTGCCAGGCCATATGTGCTGGCCACGCGTGCGTACATGCCCTGGATGCCTCTGTGGCAGTCAGGAGGGTCCTCCCCCCGAAGCCCTAGTGTGAATGCCCAGATCAGAGAGAGCAGAGTCGCTCCCCTTCATGTCAATCGGTCAGCAGCCCACACACCCTGGTCTGTAGAAGAGAGGGCAGGAGAATGGGACGGGAGTTACACGAAGTGCGAGCAAGTCCAAGCGGCTTTGCTCACCTTTGTTTGCAACTTTGTGGAGACTAATGCTGAGCTTGGTTATTTATGTATAACAAAGCCAGGGGTAGGTGTTGCCCCAGGGTGATGAACTCCCATGCGGAGTGCTGGGCAGGACCTGCCCTCTTGGGGGTTTGGGCAGAGCAGGTGTAAACGACAGTGCCCACCCAACATACGGGTCCAATGACATTAGCATCTCCAGGAAGAAGGGTTGAGCTGCTCCAGAGTGCCATTAAACTATCCCTGATATGATGTGTGCATACAACACATACCGTGCATGCATGCACACCACACACATGCACACATACATGCACACACAGACCCGTCCCAGAAGCATGTGTGCATACAACACATACCATGCATGCATGCACACCACACACATGCGCACATACGTGCACACACGCAGACCTGTCCCGGAAGCATGTGTGCATACAACACATACCATGCATGTGCACCACACACATGCACACATACGTGCACACATACATGCACACACATGCACACACAGACCCATCCCAGAAGCATGTGTGCATACAACACATACCATGCATGTGCACCACACACATGCACACATACGTGCACACACATGCAGACCCATCCCCGAAGCATTGTGCATACAACACATACCGTGCGTGCGTGTGCACCACACATACACACACACATGTACGCACAAACACACACGCAGACCCATCCCAGAAGCAGCACCAAGCAAACCATCTGAGGTAGGCAGTGAAACCGAGCATGTATATAATGCGGGGTCTGGTCCCAGTGAAGATGCTGACTCATCCCAGGAAACCTACAGCAGACGAGACACATGCAGGGAAGGTTTATTTTTGGCCTCTGATTCCCCCCCATGGAAGGCCGCATTTGTGTTCTAATTACCAGTGGAAGGAAAGGGAAGCACTTTCCGAACCCCTGCTGCTCCAGGCACTGATGAGGTAAAGAAGGTGCAGGGAAAACAGCCCTTTTAAAAATCCTACATGTAGTTAACTTAGTCTATTTCTCTAACACGGTTGCAGCCTGGCCCAGAAAAATCCATCCTCCTTCCTGCCACCTTTGCTCCAAGACTACGGCTCTCCCCTCTGGAGTAACGTTTTCCTCACTGTCTTCCTCTGCAGCCGCTGGGGTGCATTATAACCAGCAGGCATTTCTTCCTCACAATCTGGGGGCTGGACATCCCAGATCCAGACGCCCGCAGGTCTGGTGAGAGCCACAGCCTGGTTCTTGGGCAGCGTCTTCTGTGCCCTCACTGGGGGAAGGGGCGAGGGGGGCTCCCTGGCGTCTCCTTCACAAGAGCACGAATCCCATCGGGGGACCCCACCTCCTGACACGGTCCCCTAGGGTTGGGGCTTCAACACGGGAGTTTTTGAGGGACCCAAACACTCGGTCCATAGCCACACCCTGTGGAAAGTAAGTGGCAGAATCAAATCAAATTGAGAGTCAAGGGAAGGGCACCCATTAACTACCAGGGGCCTTTCAGGGAGCCGCCCCAGGAGAGAGGGAGGGCTGGGACGGCCTGGCAGGTGACGGCAGGTGCATCCGCCCTCAAGGGTCACGCAGGGCACTCCTTCACCGTCACGTAGTCTCAGAAAGAGAAGGAAGGAGAAACAACATGAAACGGATTCATTTTTCTTGGAGTGTTCATCAGGCTGAATCTACAAGAACCAACTTCCCATATGAAATTGTGAAATGTGGCCCATTAGACAGCTGCTTAGAACTGTCTTTCCATTTTCTCTCGGAAGATTGGGCATCATGAAGACCCGGCCCAGGAGGCCTCAGGTCTGGGAGGAAAGGTCTGGCAGAACGTTTGGGGCCAGCCCTAATTTACCTCATTTACCGGCTTCCTCCTGAGGACAGGACGGCTGAGTGAGGACGGCCTGAGCCCCGCCGCGTCTCCAGAGAGGCAGTTCTGGCTCATTGGGCCCGCGCCTCTGTGCATCCGGCACCCACGGCGGCCTCCCTGGCCCCCGATTCCAACTTGCAAAGCCAGTGGTTTAGAAAAACACACAAACACATCCTCAGATGCACCCTGGGGGCTCACTTCCCGACACAGATGTCTTTTATTTCATGGTGCTTTTAAGAAGTGGCAGGTGCTGCTAGGGCAAACAAAATAAAGTGTTTTCCTCCCATTTTTACTGCAGCTATGCCAGGCAAAGTGACATGCTGCTCCCGGGTTATTTAGCCTGCTGTCCCTGGCACCCGGGAGGGGGCTCTCGGCGAGTCTGTACTCAGACTCACCTCCGGGAGCCACACACCACCTCCCCTTATTCGCCAGGAAGGGTAAGAACACCACACTGCCCTCTGCGGGGAGGGCCTCCCAGAGAACCTGTGTGTTCTTCACGGGCCCAGGAGGGCTTGGACACTCAGGAAGGACTCCCGCTTTAGAGAGAAGGCACTGCCACCGAGGGGGGCTCTGTGTGTCACGCCCCCCCCCATGGTACAGGTCTTTGCTTTGGAAGGATGGCACATGGGGGGACTGGGACCTCTGCGCCCCCAGGAAGCACAGGCCTGCGGGCCCGTCTGCTCCCAGAGGTCAGGGCGTCTGCGTCCTCCAAGTAACCTTGGAGAAACCCTGCCTGCCTGCCACAAGCCTGGCTCCACGCTCCTAAATGGAGCTCCCTGAACGCAGCCCCAGAGGTCCACAGAGGCACGTCCACCCCTGCAGCCAGCAGGCGCCCCAGTTCGGGAGCCACGACCTCCCCGGGTCCTGCACACCACCCAGCATAGCCCCTGCGGGGTGCCCATTGTGTCCGCTCCTCTGTTCTCAGCCTCCTCTGCTCTGCACAGCCCACGTGCGCCACGGCTCTGCTCTCCACCCCCCCACACACAAGGACACCCGTGCGAAGAAGCACACCCTCCACAGGCGTGTGATGCAGCAGATCTGTAGTCAGGCCTCCGACAGACTGCGTGCAGCGGAGAAAGGAGATCCCGTGCAGGGGTCTAGACCATCCCTACAGCCCGCGTCACACACCGCAGGGAACAGTATCTGACCTGGCGTTTCTAAGAGCAAACGCCTGACTGCCCACCAGCTGCGGAGAGACAGTGGCCGTCCACCAGGGACCTCTGGCCCCAGCTGTCCCGGCGCTCGAAAGGCTCCCCGACTTCCCTGACCCCACACTCCCTATGGCCTGGTCCGTGTCTAAGAGACCACAGAGCGCGGTGCTGTGAACCAGCCTCACCTCCCTTGGATGCCTGTGGCTCAAGAAATTCTAAATTCCCCCGCTTTATTTGTTTCCTCAAAAATACTCATCTAGATAGATAGTAGTTCTTCCTCCCTGGAGTCTTTCACAATGAAATCAAAACCAATTGGTCTGAGAAGTTGGGGGGTGTTGCCCGTCAGCAGGCAAGCGCTCCACTGGGCTGTCTCCGAACCTGCCTCATCTATCAGGATCCGCCGGGAAGTCTCCACAGACGCAGTTCCCTGCTGCCTGCTCTGCCAGAGATTCTGATGTGTTGAGAGTACACTGGGCTACTCTTAAAACTTCCCCAGTGATTCTGAGAATCTGATATGTTTCAAGCTACTGGATTCAAAACCCCCCAAACAGTCTCCTGCCCAGATTGGGTGTGTATCTCCTGGCAGGATAGCAGGAGTCTGGTCCGGTGTCTGCAGGGCCAGGCAGGCTCGGGGGACAGGTGTACAAGGCTCTTACCGGGGGGGACGAGCTGTCCCATGAAGGTCCTTGGTCTTGGCAACCAGAAGCAGCTCCATTCATTCCAGGAGGCCGGACCAACAAGGATGATGCCACGTCCTGAGTGGCTCTGGGCAGGCCTGGGCTGGCCCCAGACTGCTCTGAGGGGAACCTCCATGGAAGAGAGCCCTGACAAGACTCAGGGCACGTCACTGTGGCTGAACAACCACTGTCCTCCTTCTGACTCACCAGCATCCTTAACGCAAATGCCACTTTCGTGGTGTGTCTTTGAAACAACCTGAGAAATTCAGTTCTTACTGCCATTTTCCAAGATTTAACAGTGTAGTTAAAATTCTCCCCTCTACCTTCCCCCACGTGCCACGAGAAGGAGCATATGATGTCGTAGCTTACGAACACGTGCTAAATGCCTCCTACATTCTAGGCCAACTCCGTTCATTGTGCATTAGGGAAGTTCAAGAGATTGGACCAGAACCACAAAGCCAAGTCTGAAGCACGCGTCCTGACAGCCCCGTCTTCAGGTCTGCCTACTGAGTCCCTGATGCTGGCACAGGATGCGAAGGTCTGTGCACCGCGGGAGCAGGTGTCCAGACGGCCTCCAAGCTCCCACCGCCGCCGCCGCCGCCGCCGCCGCCACGTCCCACAGGACGCACGGGACGGATGCTGTAGACATCATGACAGGAAACAGCGGGGCGCATCACAGGTGTTCCCTGCGGGGTGCACACACCTTCTGAAGACGGTCTGGAAATTAAAAGTTTATCTGGTGCTCAGACAGACTGTCTGTCTTCCGTTCTGAGGCCTTTCCTCCCATTCCCGGCTCTCCTTCCCTACAGCAATCGTGGCAGCCATGTATCACTCCTCAGACACAGCTGTGCTCCCTCGGTGGACGCCAGCAATTGCCGTTTTTGTCCACCCGCTTCTGATTCTGTCCTAAAAATAAAATATTCACCTGAACAACCCTGTAAAGCATATGACCACCCTTCCTGTCTCTTCACACCTGTCTTCAAAGGTCTCAGACTGATAAACACTACAATGATGAGTCTGGGGACATGGAATACTAGCAGATTAGAATATTCTCCTGGATTTGGGAGGATTTATATGCACTCGGCATATTTCAATGTCTCAGACCCACTGCAGCTTGTGTGGACTCAGTCCTCTGCGGCCTCTGGCTGGACCGGTGTTTGTGCTACTTCAAGTGCCAACTTCAGCTCCCTCCCACCTCTCACAATTAGGCAAGGGAGAGCCGAGGACATGGGCTCCACCGATCACCCGCACTCAGAACACCGCCCCCACCGGACTGATCACGCTCATCGGGGAGCATGCTAAGGAAGGCAGCCTGAGAAGTAGCACCTCCAAAAATAAACAAGTTTCAGGAGCGCCTCATGCACCTGGCTCTTCAGGCAAAATTAATCCACCTGAAAACTTTGAGTTAACTCCTACAGACCGGTTGTTAATTCAAGCCAGGACTCCCTGTTGTCATGGAGTCTACTTCATGGAAAGTTAGTTGTGCAGAAGCAGTGGGTAGGAATTTAGAAAAGCCTTACAAGGTAACAGGCAACTTCCAGGTCTGAAAAATGACATGATAGTTGAAGCACCAGGAGAACAAAAAGGATGCCATAATTAATAGAAAGAGAGGGCAAAACGTACCATATTCCCTGAGAAAATATCCCCCACATAGAACGGCAAGTCCCTGACACTGGCAAACTGTGGGAACTGAGGTGTACTGGTCCTCCACTCTCCCAGTGCTGAGGTTGATGAGACCAGTAAGACCCCACCTGGACAGTGTAAAAAGTCGGGTCCAATCAAAGGTTTATTCAAGGGTTTTTGAGTCATATGAACTATTTTATGTTCATTGTATCATCTTCACCATCATCACTATCACCATCATCACCATCACCACCACCTCCATCACCATCAGTACCACCACCATCATCACCATCTTCACCACCATCATCATCACCACCACCCTCATCACCATCATCACCACCATCACCATTATCACCACCATCACCACCAGCATCACCATCATCACCAGCACCATCAACATCATCATCTTCATCATTATTGTCACCATCGTCCTCATGACCATCATCATCACCACCATCACCATCATCACCACCAGCATCACCATCATCACCAGCACCATCAAATTCATCATCTTCATCATTGTCACCATCGTCCTCATGACCATCATCACCATCACCACCACCTCCATCACCATCAGCACCACCACCATCATCACCATCTTCACCACCATCATCATCACCACCACCCTCATCACCATCATCACCACCATCACCATCATCACCACCATCACCATCATCACCATCATCACCACCAGCATCACCATCATCACTAGCACCATCAACATCATCATCTTCATCATTGTCACCATCATCCTCATGACCATCATCACCATCACCACCATCGTCATTGTCATCATCTGAATCCTGGTGCCATTCAAAGCTATAGAGATTTGCACTCTCACCATCACCATCATGGAGCATCTCTGGCTGTGCATACCCAGGTTCAGTCTCTCATCTTGGTTCTTCTTTCTATGGATGACTCACAAATCAGTCAAAATTGGATCTCATCAAGCACCTGGTTGGTGAGGATCAAAAAGCAACCTGAACCCTTTTACAAGTTTACGTTCAGCAAGGAGTACAACAATCTTTCTCCCTAAGACATGGACATTAGGGACTACAGAAATGTAGTAAAAGAACTTCAGCTCCTAGAAACAAAGAAAATATACTGTCAATTGTTGTGAAATCTGTAAAAGAAGGTGCACATATAAATCCACGTTATTATTTGATGCCTTCAGTAAGGATAAATAAGGCAGAAATCCTATTTCCACAACTTCAAAACTTAAATAGAAACCTTTTAAAGAAAGTATCTTTAGTATCCATCTATGTCAGCATACGTATGTAAATGTTGGAATCACTATATTAAATAACATTTGTATGCAAAGCACTTAACCATTTCCATTTTCCAATATAATCCAGACTTAACGTGCAGAACTCTTTTAAAGAAAGAAAGGATAAAGATAATCTTCCCTTTGTTCGTGCTAGTTCTGCAAATAACTGTAGGGTGTGGGGTGCGCGCGCACGCGCTGAGGGGGCTCTGGGAAGGAAAGCAGGAGTATATGGGACGAAGGCATGAGGGGCCCACAAGGACCAGTTCAAAGGCTGTGTTTCGTTGTTCGTCCTATAGACCCTGGTGGGAGCGGATGCCCTGCTGACTGTGCATGTCTGACCTCATCCGTCCCCACAGCCCAGGAGGCAGGCACCATTATTAGCCCTAGTTTAGGGTGCAACACCCGTGTCACAGCGGTCGTGAGTGACCTTTCCGAGGTCATGGAGCTAGAAAACAATATAGCCAGGAGGAAAATCTCGACTGGGGTCTACAGACCACGGCCCTCAGGCCAGACCCCACCCACGGCCCTTCCAGACGGTCCAGGAACTATCTTTAGATGGCTGAGAGAGGTGCGAAGAGCAGTATCTCCCAGCACGTGGAAGGCATGGGACTCACATCTCAGCGTCCGCGAATACAGGGTTTGGAGCGCAGCCACGCTCGCTCGCGGGGCTGTCTGTGCAGCCGTGAGCTCTGGCAGCGGCGACAGAGGCCACGTGACCACGGAGCCTCAGACACTGACTGCCGGGCCCTTCCGGAGAAGTCGGGGGCTGGTCTAGAGGGGGCGCTCTGGAGCGCAGCCCTGCAGCAGCCCCTGCCCTCCGCTGGGGCACTCATCTGTGCTTCCCCAGCCCAGCAGTTGTCCACGTGCCGCTGGGGCCCCTGGAGATGTTTCTGGGCACCTGCCCTCCTCCCGCACGGCTCCAGGTGGGGACTCACGTGTCTGCACCAGCAGGCTCACAGCCACCTCTTATCTCCTAGTGAACAGCAGGAAGCACATCGTCAGGAAGCTCCGCGGGCACCTGCGCACAAAGATCGAGTCTGGGGAAGGGACCGTCCCCGTCCGGGGCCCTAGCACGGTACAGACGTGGGATGGCGTCCTGCTGGGTGAGCAGCTCGTCACCATGTCCTGCACGGACAAGATCGCCAGGTAACAGCCCCCTTGCTTGCCTCCGCCCAGGTGGCCTGGCGGGGCTGAGTGAGGGCGGGACGGGGAAGGCGTTGTGGGGGGGCTCATCCTAGTTCGCGGGCCACACGCTCCACTTCACCAGCTCCACTGAGCACAGGCCGGCTGCTCCTATGGAAGAGCGGGCCTCGGTCACTTCGGATGTCCAGCACCACCAACCTGGCCCACTGGTCCATCAGGAGCCCACCAATCCTTTGGGCAGCTCTCCAGGGACCCTCACCTCTCAGATGTGGGGTGCCCCCGTCAGACCTCTTCCTGTTCCCTAAAGCCTGATGGGCCTTCCAGGAAACATGTCCACCTGTGCCGTCAGCCGGGTGCAAGTCCTCCCCATGCCATAAGAGAATCTCTTCTTAGAAGGAACCTCAAAAGCCCCCACTTGAAGGGTCTCGGTGGGGAGCCGGCAGGAGGACGAGGGATTTGCAAAAAGGCATGCGGGTGTCCCTCAAAGGCACCTTCTCTTCAGGGAGAGGCCCCCTTGCTCACGACCCCACCACCACCCCGTTCCCCTGCTCCCCCAGATGCGCCAGCCCCACTGGGGAGCATTCCTGTCACTTAGGTCTGGAAACCGTCCAGGGCCCCTGGTGAGCAGGAGTTTGCCCCAACACAGCCGTACACAGCTCCAAACCCACCCTGAGGGTGCCAATAATAACACGCTGGCCGTGGAAAGCTTTGTTGAGAGTGAGTCAGAACTTCTTCTGGACCCTCGGATACATGTATTAATCTGTAATCTATAAACTAAAACCCCCACCCCACCCCTACTTCCAGCCACATTGCTGCCCCCAAGATCCTCGGCCTGGAAGGGCTTGGGGTTGGAACTCACCGGAGATGAGGGGACAGGAGGGCGAGGTTAAGGCAGGAGGGACGCTGAGGCTCAAGCGGAGTCAGAGTCTGTCCGGGGGATGGACCTGGAGGCCAGGCGGGGTGCAGAGGGCAGGGTGTCCCCACGGGGCCCGGTAAGGTGCACCCTCCCAGGTGTGGTTCCCCGGCACGTGGACTCCCATGAGGTGGGACTATCTGCCCATTTATTGCGCAAACGGCACCTCCCCTGCCCCGCAGGTGTTTGCTGCCCGGCCTCCCTCACTAGCAAGATGCCGCGTTCTCCCCGGGAGGCCGAGCGCGGGGCCGTCAGGGGCAGGCAGGGCAAGGGCAGGGTCGGGACCCCAGGCCACCGCAGGCCCCACACATGGGGTCCCTGCCTCCTTAGGCTTGTCGGGCTCAGGGGCAAACCGAGTGCTCCCAGGGACTCGGCAAACAGCTGCAGGAGCAGCGGGGCTGTTCGCTTCCCTGGCTACGGCTGCCCGGGCCTGCAGCGGCAACAGGCCGGCCTAATGACGCTAACTCAAAGCACTGATTTCTGCATCAAAGAGAAAGGCCCAGACTCATCAAGCAGCTCATCTTTCAGAAGAAGATGCATCCCTCCTTTTTAATATTCTCATCTATTCACGAAGCAGGAAAAAAGGGGCAATTTTCACCTTAGGGAGATTCTCTTGATGCCCGAAGATCACATTGGGTTTCTAAATTAACTCTCAGTCCCTAGAAAAATGAAGTGAATTCATGCTATCGCACTGAGATTTCATTGTCTGTGGGACCTTACACGTCAACAGACAGCAAATTAAACACGGGATACGGACCCCACGCGACGCTTGTTGTGGGCAGGTATGCACCAAAGTCAGTCACAAAATCTGGAGGAACAAAAGCCCACCTTGCATCTCTCCAGGGGTCTCAAACGGTATCCTGGTTGAGAACGATTCTAGACAGCCTTTGAGGAAGACGGGGCATGTGTGGGGACTGCCCTGGCTCGGGGTGGGCCGGAAGGACAGCTCTCTCTCCCTGGACTGACCGGGGAGGTAAAGGACTCCAGCCCCACAGGCAGCCTCTCTCCATGCACCGAGCTCTGGTCCCCACGTCTGGCGGTGGGGCCCCCGAGAGCCACGCAGGGCCGCCCTCACTCACTCCTCCAAGCCCTCATCCCGCTTCCTCCTGCCCCCATCCCCGTCTTCTCTCTGAGCACAGAGATGTGGGAGTTACGTCCTCCTCCCAAGAGCCGGGAGGTGCTGGAGGACCCCCTTGGCTCCCCAATCCCCGCACGGCTGCTGGAGCCAGCTCAGCCACGAGAGCCCACTGTCGTCAGGCCATTAGGAAAGCAGACTGCTAAACGCAGTTGTTATTAAGAGTCAAATAACATACACTAAATAAATTATATTAAAAATAAAGGCAAGAAATACTCAAAACCCACCTCTTCCTGACTATTGCACTATTATGTTTGGTCTTGTGTCGTATGCAAGAGGTACACGAGAGGCTGAGCCACTGCAGGCCCGGCCCCAAATCTGTGCTCTGGGCCCTCACGCCAGCCCCGCAAAACTGGCCGCAGGGATGGTGTTTACAGCACGGAAGTCGGCCGACGCTACAAATCCAGGCCTTTGTACCGGCACACGTCAGAGTCACACGGGTCAAGTCCCCGAGACTAGAAGTGACGTGTGTGTCATCTCACTAGGGACAAAGCGAGCCCACGAGGGCAGGAGGCCAAACGGGCGTGTGTGTGGAGGCGGGAGGCGCGCAGACCAGGCCACTCCCCCCACTGCGCCCCGGCGGTGTCCCACCCTCCCCGTCCCACCACAACAGGGACAGCCGCCTCGCATCCACCCCCACCTGCGGCTCTCACCTTCCTCTGAGCCTCCAGCCTCGTCTCCCTCTTGTTCCAGCATCTGCTGGCCCGAAACCGACCACGCGGTCATCACACGGCTGGTCCTCCTCACCTTATAAAGGAAACCCCTAAACCCAGCATCCCTCCACCGGCACTTCCATGCTTCCTTTCTAACCCAGATTCCCTGGGGTAACTATGTGCGCTCACCCCCAGCCACCGCCGAGGGCATCTGGCTTCCGCCCACCCCGCTCGGGCGAGCTCATCCCCTCGGAGGCCGACCTGTCACCCGTGGGTCCCGTGGGGCTGCCCACTCTTCCTGCTCACCCTGTCTGCCCCCCAACCTGGGGCGCCACACCACAGCAGTGCTCGCAGGAGAAACAGGCAGAGAGGTGGGCGGGTGGACGGAGGCACCCTGGCATCTGTGCGGGGACGCTTGTGAGGCAGGCAGGAAGCAGGTGATGGGTGCCGGCAGGGGCTGCTAAGGACAGTTGTTAGTGAATATCCAGAAACTCATGGCAGTCACTGCGGGAAGAAGGCAGGGAAGACACGGGGCCGTCCCGGACTCGCTGACCATCCCCCTAATGAGGCGCCACACGCTCAGCTTCTGTGCCCCCCACGCGGCACACACAGGGGCATCCCATCGGTGAGCAGGAAATGCTGGGCGAACGGAACCTGCTCTGCGGCCATGGCGTCACACATGGGGGGCACAGCACAGGGGCCCCAGTGGGACCCAGAAACTGAAGGCCTGCCTCCTTCCAACGACCCACAGAGACGGCTTGGCAGACCCAGGGATGCAGCCTCTGCCAGGCCCTCACTCTGCCCTCAGCTGCCAAAGCTAAGGCCTATCTGTGCCGCCCGTAAACCATAGGGAGGCGTCCGAGCCAACTCACTACGGGCTCTCTTCCCAAGGGACCACCCAAGGGTCTTATCCCAGATGCTGCTGGGACCCACAAGCCACATCCACGTGAACTTTCTCTATGAACAGATGCAGTTTTATTTGAGCAGCTGACCTCACCATCTAGCGCATGTGACTTCTATGTATTTAGATGAAAATAAATGAATAAACTTGTATCTTTAAATAAGGTAGAGAAAGCGCATCCATGAGACAAATTTGTATTTCTCTTTGCAAATCCCCCTCAATATCCGTGAATAATGAAGGGGATCAGGCTCTATCCAAAGATCTGAACAATCAACACAGCTCCATTATTTCCCTCCCAGAGATCAAAAGCAATACACAGGTGTCACTTTTTGGATCAATGACACCCACGCAATATAAATTAGAGCACCACAGACGTTCTGAGTACGATTTCATGAATAACAATTGGTATCATTTTACAACGTCATTGGTGAGATGGTGTAAAGACAGGTTTCCAGCAAAACATGTTACAGAAAGCTTGACATTTTTACAGTGGTTTAAAATGAGCCATAAAACATCGTGAACAAACTTCCTGGATTCCAGCCATTGGATAATTCCTCACATTTCCTTCGTATCCTTCCAGTTCCTCTTCTCGGCCCTCCGGCCTCGGCGTCCGGCATCCCCCGCGGCGCTGAGGCAGCAGTGGGTCCGTCCATGGGGAGCAGGGAGCCGGGCGAAAGACTGCGGCAGTCAGGGACGCCCACTGAAGACAAGCGCCTCACTACAAAGATCAATCCCTTCAACAGCCAGTGGTACAGTGTCTTCCAGGAGAGCTTCTGTCTCTCTGGGAACCATGCAGTGCTCTCATCACAAGAGAGGCTCAGCCCTCACGCAGAGGTGGGAGATCTCAAGTACTGCTCTCTCGCCCCAGGCCACTTTCCTCCCCCGTGAGGAGGATTCGGGGCTGTCACCCAGCCTGGTCCCCCACCCACCTGAAACACCATCTCAGCGGCCCCCTCTGGGACCCGAGGCTCTGTGACAGGTGGAAGTGCTCACAGGACCCCGCCCTGCATCACCTTGAGACGGCCCACCTGTCTCCACGAATCGTGGGCACGCCCCGGGCCCTCTTCGAGATTCCGGAACACACTGCCGGGCTTGGCAGACGCCCACAGACGTGACACTCACATAGCCACTCTGAGACATGAAGGGGCATTCAGCGGGCACCCAGAAGCAACGGACCTAAGTCCAGCCATGGGACAGGACAACAGACTCGGGAGCGTGGGAGGTTCTCCACCAGCACCTGTCAGTGGCCCTGCTCTGCAGAGAAGAGAACGGGAGAGGGAGGCCGGGCCAGCAGGTGCCTGTGCCCGACAGGACTGCGAGGCCCCTCTGCCCACAGTCAGGAGGGTAACTGGGGCAGTGCAGGGTGGCACCGGGTACACTTGGAGAGTGAGCAGAAAGCAC